AGGTGAGCAGGAAGCCCCGCGCTCCCCCCAGCCCACCTTCCGGATGGAGGCGGCTCCTGAAAGCCCAAAGATGAAGCGCCCCAAAGATGCGGCACCGCCGGGAAAGATACTCACCATGGGCTCCCCCTGCGCTGGCCGGCACCCCTCCCGCTCCTCTCGCCTTTCCCCGCCCGCCGGGTCCGTTCCCCAGAGAGACCCCGCCGCCTGCAGCCCGGCCCCTGCCTCTCCCGCGCCCTCCCTGGCGCCAAGCAGCGGCTTCCATCCCTCCGCTTGGGGAAAAAAGGCCCGGGCCTCCGACGGCCGCTTTCTCTTTCCGACAGTCCGCAGCCTCGGGGACAAGGCGACGTAACCCTTCGGCTCCTGGCTTCAGGCCGGGGGAGGGAGAGGGGGGGGCTCAGACTACGATTCCCAGCATCCCCTTGCGCCGAAAAGCCAGCCGTGGAGCGGAAGCGCCCGCCAGAAAGAGGCGTGGAGACTGGCCGAGGGCGGGGCTCTTGCCATTCAAAGCGAGCAGAAGCCGCCGGAAGTAGCGTGGCCGCGCCGCTCTTCCTGCAACGCGTGCGTGTTCTCTATGCTTTTGCGATAGCTGTCCTTTTAGGATTGATTTTTTTTTTTTGTTAATTACTTTTTGTTTTTTTGCAGCAAATCTTTTCGGATAGAAAAACCATCAGAGTAACATCTTCTGCGTCCACGGCAACGCAATTTGTTACGGCTCCCAGATCGGTTCAGATTGCAAACATGAATAAAAAAGGCGCGGAGGGGAAAGAAGCGGTTATTTCTCCTCTGTATTCACGGATTAGTTTATGTGGCATCAAGTCGTTTTCTAAACTTCTAGAAAACCACCTAAATCTGCATCCGTCATGGGTTCCCTAGTTGCAAAAATGCAAAAAAATTATGTGAAAATATTCTGCATCGAGCAGACGAAAAGTGTCAAATCATGTATTTTGCTCTTTTTAAAATTACACAATTGGTCGGTTTGCTGTTTCATTTTTTCTTCTTCGAAAATATGTTTTATTGGTACATTTTTCTTTTTAAAATATTATAAATTCCATCTCTATCTGAACAGCCTGTTGTCTGGGCACAATGTTAAGTAAAGATACAACAATAACCATAATCATACTAGTCATCTTGATAAAACGTATCAATATTAATCACAATAATAATACAATTAGTTTATCCATCTTGCATAATTTTCCATACAAAATTTTTGTTATCTTTTAAAATTCTGTTTAGTTTCTAACTAACCTCTGTTTCTGTTAGTTAACCATTATTGGCAAAATCCAATGTTAAAAAATATTCTGTTTCTTCCTTTTTCTTTACTTTTGTTAACAGATCCTCCTATCAGGTTATTTCAGAGAAAGACGGAGTAGCCAGGTTTTAGCCACTTTTGGGACAAAACGAGACTGACAGATCTGTAGTTCAGGGCTGCCTTCGCACAATTTCTTAGAACTGAATCTCCGGAATCCAACGTTTCTTAAGAGAGAGTATAACTTTTAAAAAGAGTGTAATTCTCATTCTCTACTCCCCCCCCACCTCAATTGGTTTGTGGTCCTGGGCTTTACATACTACCCAAGCTTGGAACAAGGCATTTAAAGTGAATTAACCTCTTCTTACTGGCACAGAAATAGGATGTTAAAGCAGTCTGGCAAAAACAATGTTTCAGTTGTCTGTCCATTTTTTTTCACAAGTACATTCACTCGTTTAACATCTACATGAAGCAGCTGGGAGAAGGTTATCCAGAGATACGGGGCTGGTATGCTGATCTTACTCTGCTTATGTCTCAGCTCTGGTTTCTAGTGATGTGATCAAGGTTGAATCTCGGTGTCCAGAGGCCGAGGGAATCTGGATGGGAGAAAAACAGGTTCATTCACAGCAAAATTGAATGGCTGTGGGTATCTCTAGCTCCTGGAGATGTCTATAAAGATTCTCAATCATCCAGGTCATGGTTTTGTCCCAAAGGTAGTTTTTTTTCAAGAGGCAACTGGACTTTCTCATTTTTTTTTTCTTTTGAAGACGTTTCACTTCTCATCCAAGAAGCTTCTTCAGCTCTCACTGGATGGTGGGGAATCTTAGGATCATTCTTTCCATTCCCCACCATCCAGTCACAGCTGAAGAAGCTTCTGGGATGACAAGAAAAACATCTTCAAAGAAAAACCAGGAAGTCTAGTTGCCTTTTGAAAAACACAGGGAGCAGTAAATCCCAGGAAAGCTGCAGGGCCTGATAGCATTCCTGGTAGAGTAGTTAAAGCGTGTGCTGACCAATTGGCAGAAATACTCACAGAGCTGTTCAATCTATCTTTAACACATGCCATCATCCCACAATGCCTGAAGGCTGCAACCATCATTCCTGTTCCCCCAAAAAACAAATATAAACACTCTCAATGACTATAGGCCCATATTGTTAACAAGCTCCATTATGAAGGTTTTTGAGTAACGAGTTTCACGACACATCAGAGACTGCCTCCCGCCCTCCTTTGATCAACATCAGTTTGCTTATAGAGCAAACTGATCTACAGAGGATGCTGTGGCCATCACACTTCATAGAGCGCTGAGTCATCTGGAGAACAAACAGAGCTATGTGAGGATGCTCTTTGTGGGCTACAACTCTGCGTTTAACACTATCATCCCAGATATACTAGTAACCAAACTGTATAATCTGCAGGTCCTCACCCCCACGTGCTCCTGGATTAAGAACTTTTTGACAAACAGACCACAGTCTGTTAGACTTGGGCCCCACCCTTCTTCCACTATTACACTCAGTACTGGTTCCCCCCCAGGGTTGTGTCTTGAGCCCGCTGCTATATGCCTTGTATACCTTTGACTGCTCACCAAGCCATGCAACAAACACCATCATAAAGTTTGCAGATGACACGACCATGATTGGTCTCATCTCTGGAAAGGATGAGACAGCATATAGGGCAGAAGTAGAGAACCTGTCTGTCTGGTGTTCACAGAACAATCTGTCACTGAATGTCCATAAAACCAAAGAACTGATTATGGACTTCAGGAGACATGGAAAGGAACACACCCCACTCATCATCAATGGAGAACGAGTGGAAACTGTCCCTATGATCAGATTCCTTGGCATCCATATTTCAGCTGATATCTCCTGGTCCCCTAATACCAAGGCCATAGTGAAGAAGGCTCAGCAGCGGCTGCACTTCCTGCGAGTTCTCAGGAAAAACAATCTGGATAAGAAGATGTTGCTGGCTTTCTATAAAGCCTTTGTGCAGAGCACTCTGACATACTGTCTGGGTGTGTGCAGGCTCCTTAGCTGAGGACAGGAAAACTGTACAGAGGGTGATAAACACAGCTCAAAAGATCATTGGTTGCCCTCTGCCCTCCCTGAAGACTTAGCCAGGTCCTGCTGCCAAAGCAGAATCAAGGCCATCATAGAAGACCCCTCACACCCTGGCAATTATCTTTTTGACCTGCTGCCGTCTGGATGGCGCTTTAGATCAATAAAATCCCACACCACTAGACTAACTAATAGTTTCTTTCTCTGGGCCATCCGAACCGCAAATAAATAAAAAGTCACTACCTTATTAAGATGTGAAAAGATGTGAAATCGCAATACCTCATTCAGATGTATAATAACGTATTACAATACAATCCATCTCTTGTGTATTACACTTGGCAAAGCGTCACAGTCAGTGTTGGATGTATATTTTGTGTATATTCGTAGATATTGTACTCTCAAATTGCAAATGGAGACGCGGGTACTCTATTTTTTTTTTATCTTCATCTTTAAGTGCTCTGGTTTTATTGTATCGTGAACAGTTGCTGGGGTGCATCCACAGTTTCGTTGTACTTGTACAATGACAATAAAGTTGTTGTTGTTGTTGTTGTTCTTCTTCTTCTTCTTCTTCTTCTTCTTCTTCTTCTTCTTCTTCTT